GAAAATGGCAAGGATATGGAAAAAATATCTGAATAAATGAGTGACTATAAAGAGAGGCTCATAAAAGCTGGCAGTACTTGAGTGACAACTGATTTTTTTTTTTTTTCCAACCATTTCACCCAAAGGAAGGTGCTAATGCCACTAAGACACAAGGAGTGAAAGGGAATGATAAGACTTTAGTGAAAACAATAAAGGAACAGGATTCAAGATGACCAAAAATGGTGATTGACATTGCATTTAAATTTTTCAAGATTGTAGGTGGCAGAGAAGCAAGAAATTGAGAGTTCTATAAGCAAGAGAAGAAACTATTAGAATAGAACTCACAGTTGCATCTAGCTAGCTCAGCAATAAAATGGTGAGACCTACTTGCCAGTCTACAAGCAGACTTAAATTCATACAAATGAAGCACTAAGGAGAACAGCTCATCAAAGCAATTGGCATGAAAATATTTGTAGAAAAGACAGAGGCAAGCCACATCACAGTGGAAAAATGAGGGAAGTTGAGATGCCAGGTCAGTGCATGGAAAATGGTAGATTTATAAATGTGCAAGAGGGATTCTGATGAGAAGAATCATCTGGTATGACACAGTGAAGCAACTTTCCAAGCAATAAACCTAGCAATTGATTCAATAGTAATTGGAAGAGCAGCCCCTTAGGAGTCAGTTCCACAAAGCAGTGGTTCATGGAAAGAGACTGCTTGAGTGGAACTTACATCTCATCAATGGAATATGAAAGGGATGAGAGTGGTTCACTACAATGTATGTGGCATGGCGAATCTTAGCCACAAAGGTTAGGACTGGTGGAACTAAGGAGTGTAGTTCATCTGAACACTCACCATGGAAATATAGTGATAGAGTAGTGAGAGGTTTGTGATTTCTTGTCTGTGTGAAAGAGGTTGCAGAGTAGATCGTATGTAAAAGTTCCACTTGAGGTCTGGCTTGAGTTTAAATCCCAATAGGCACTCAAGGCCTCCCTGAGAGAACATCCATTCATCACAATTGGTGAAAATTCTGGATCCAATTAGCAATAGTGCAAGGTCACTAGTTTGATCTTTGAGTGATCAAGCAATCTTCCACCCCACTGAGCTACTAGAGCTAGATCAGAGGAGAGATCAGCTGCCAAGTTCTGGTCATAAAGGGCTTTGAATGCACACCCATATTGCTTTATCAACAGCATAAATATACACAAATGATTGGAGGATTGGACCAAGAAGCAAACCTTGAGGAACACCTGCACTGATCACCTAGGAGGACTGGTCATTAATAACTACCTTCAAAGACCTTTCCATTAGGAAGGATTTTATAGCTGAGAAGATTCTTCAAGTGATGCCATAGCTAGAGAACTTATGCAGTAACCCTTTATGTCACACCTTGTCAAAGGCCTTTTAAATATATAATGCTATTGTCCTTGTGATGTATTTTTTGTCAAGTACTTCACTAATTCTGTGAGTAATCACAGTTAGGATATCAGCAGTGTACTGGGCAGATCAAAATCCATACTGCTTGTCACTCAAAAGGTTGTACCTATTGAGGTTATTAACAACCTTCTTGTCGATTATAGCTTCAAAGAGTTTGCTAATGATGCCAAAGAGATTGATGGGTCTATGCTAAGAGAGTGAGGAGTTTTCACTCATTCTTGAAAACCAGACATACACTGGACACTTTCCACAGACTGGAGAAGGATTTCTCCTTCAAGCAGCGATTGGAGATAACTCTGGGTTATTATTTTTAAGGATAATCAATGGGATTTTATCTGGCCCAAAGTCCTTCTTAGGGTCAAGAATTTTGATAAGTCTTGAGACTTCCCTGGCTGCAATGAAAATCTTTCTGAGATTGTGCAGGAAATCAGGAAGGGGGTGACCTTTGTCATCTAACATTGAGTTTGAGGCAAAGATCGAGCTGAAGAGTTTTGCCTTGTCCACTGAGGATGAGATGAGCTTTATAATAGTAGGCACTGATGCTTTATTTCTATTCAAAATTTGATTAGGGATCTTCCAGGATTCAATTTGTTTGCTTTCAACTTTGGCCCGGACTGCTTAAGCATGGCTACGCTTTGAATTTTCTAAAACTCTCTTTCAGCAGTTGTAGGCAGTTTGGAATGCAGAAAATGTCCTACTACACTATGCCCTGTGATAGGTATTGTAGTAATGGTTATGATGAGCTGTGGCTGCAGCACATTTGGGGATGAACCAGAAGTGGCTTTTTGGTTTCTGCTGGAATATTTTCCAGGGTATAAAACTCCATTCCACTGAAGATACATTCTGATACAAGGGCAGCAGTTTTGGCGGCAGAGTGTTTGGAGAAGGCTAAGAAGATAGTTTCCGCCATGTCCCTGTCTGCTTTCATGTACCAAAAGATTATTCTATGGAATGGTCTATCAAGGGATGCCTTTGGTCAAGCATCAACTTTGATACTAACTAGAGAGTGATCTGAAGTGCCCAGCAGGGGGTAAGACTTCTGCAAGGTATTTTTCAGGGCAGGATGTGAGGAAGAGGTCAAGGAGGTTCACCTGATGTCCTGTCACCTCAATAACACGGGTGGTTTCTTCACTGATCTGTTAGATCATAGATGATGGAGAGATCACTGCAGTATCTGCCTTCTTTGTCAGTTTTTTTGAGTAGACTAACCACTCTTCATGATGAATAAATATGAAAAGGCAGCTAAAGGAAATTTGGTGAGGATAGTATCAATTGTCTCAGATGTTCAGACGAAAATTACAGTTCCATCATCCTGAGGACAATACAGAGAGAAAATGAAGGTGGTACTGTGGTTAAGTGCCGTGCAAAAGCACATATACAGGAGATCAGGGAAACCTGTTCTTAATATAGACACCAAGTCCATAGCTCATGGCACTTTTAACAGTCCTGTTTAGTTATTAGGGGTGATAAGCCCAGGATTGTGAGTTCCTGCAGTGGCATAGAGTTATCAAGATCAAGTTTAGTTGCGTTCACGTGTAGGTAATAATGTGTTTGGTAGAATACTACGTAGTGAGATAGTCACACACTCACATAGAGATGCCTCTATCTATAACCTGGATCGAATCATCCAAATATATTGCTGTAACAGTACCCTTCACCATGTCATCAAGAGGTCCCATCAGAGACTAGTGCATAGTCCAGAACACATTCACAAAAATGGCAATACAATAGCTCCAATAATATAGCCTTCTTTGAAATTATTCGAAGGTTCAAATCCCTGATTATCAGGCAGATAAGGCCAAAACCCAAGAAATATCTACCTTTAGCACCTTTGATGAAAGGACAAAATAATCCAGGAGAAAAGATACAGGCATGATTTCCTGAGTGTATATGTCCTGCCTACTCAGTATTCAAGGCAACAGAACTCCTTGGGCCAGAAACATCATGCTAGTCTGAGACCAGAGCTATTGAGACACACTCTCATATAAAAGACTCATTGGCAGAAGAGGGGGTGACACATGTTGCTCAGACGTGTCAACATCCCCTGACCCCATCTAATTTAATAGTAATGGAGGAGTGAGGCTAATTAGACCATTGAGGGGTTGATAGGGTCTTCTTCGGGGGTGTTAAAATTTACAAGCCATTCTTTGCCCCAGTTAACCACTGATTGTAGGTCCTTTTCAAGAGGAGTTGCCAGTTCTACTTTGTCAGATCTGTCAGACTTGCTACTGAGATAGGAATAAATAATTGTGTCATCTGCATAGATACCTAGTTCAGAACTGATGACATCAGGAAGGTCATTGATGAAGATCAGAAAAAGCATAGGTCCAAGGACTTGGTGGACTTCTGCATTAATATGAAATGAACTAGAAATGTGTCCATTCAACACGACCATCATTACACGATTTGTTTGGATTAGGCCAAATATTCATCCAGAGACACCGTAGCACTTGAGATTGTGAAGAATGCCAGCATGCCAAACACTATCAAATGCCTTTGAGATATCTAAAGGCCTGAGCTTTGCCATTCTTACCTAAAGCTTGATAAACAAATCACATCAGCAGTAGACCTGGAGAAATGAAAGCCATATTGTTTATCCGAAAGGTGGTTGTGTGAAGTAAAATGCTTTACCAATTTAGAGAAGCAAATATATGATGGTACTTGATATATAAAATTACAAATCAAACTGAATCAAATACAATCCACTTTAATATAATAATAGGTTACATTACAATGGAAGAAAATTTAATACAGTAATAAAAACAAATGCATCAATGTAAAGTACAAGAGCTGAAAACTATTTTTAATAACAAATTGCACCAAATTAACAAAAAATACTTCCAAAACAACTGTTAGATGCTTATGTTTCTACCAACTCTTAATTAAATGGAATTAACACTGACTTCAGTCAGGTTGTGTTTTTTGTATCAACAACCATTTTATAGTTGTTTAGCAATTGCTTCTGATATAGAAGCAATTCATGTAGATGTCATTTTGCTGATGCCATACATAACCCCAGTCTGCCCAGTTCAGATCAATCTTGAGAACAAAAAATGTTTAAGATGTAACATACACAAATGTTATCAGCATAAAAAAAAATTACCCCCCCACCACCACCAAAAAAGTGTCATGCTATGTCTTGTATAAAAAATTTTATTTAAGAAATTTCAACTAAGTGGACATTTAAATATGCCAAACAAACTGGACAATCAATTTACATATATTGATTACCAAAATAAAAGTAACTGCCTTAAATCAATCAAGAAGATTAGTAATACCTTGTATCACAGATATTAAACTTTCAGAGTACAAACAAAAAACAATATAGAAAACCTTATCAATTTACAACAATGTAAAGAAAAAAAAACAATCTCCTTTCCTTTTTATCCCATTTAATTCTAATATTTAATAAATGTCATATTAGAGGTGATTCTTTTATAAGACAATGTCAAAACTTGTTTATTACATAAAATGAAAAAAATACTTTTCTTAGATCAAAACTGAATATTTAAATGGAACATAGAAAATGAAAGTTTATGCTTAGAGGAGTTTTGCTTATTGAAGAACAAAAAGTGTTAACTTACCAGACTGAGTAGAAAAGACTAGCAGCACCAATGAATGAGGAACCCAGCTTGAAGTGGCTTTAAGCACTTTCCTCAGCCTTAGTTCTCTCGCTCCAATTTAGAGCTTTGCCACATCCTCCAAAATTACCTTGTCGTTTTTATAATCATCTGGAAAGAAAAAAAGAAAACAAATCTGCTGAAAATTTAATCATATCCAAAATACTGTTGTGTAAAAAGCCAAAAGGAAACAGAGGATAAAAAAGTCAGCAAAACTCTTGGAGGTTTTGTACAATAAATTTAAGAAATTACAAGCCAAAGAAAGAGTAATTTCAGAGAAAAGAAGTGGCTATGACATTTGTTTTTCCTTTTAGCAACACTGTTTGCTTTGTACTTACAATGTTAGTTTGGCAAAAACACAAAATCATTATTGTATCTGACAAGCATCTTTTAGAAAAATAAGGCTGAATTCCTTCACATATATAAGGCAAAGTAATGAAAACTGGGCTGATGCTATATACTTAATCTCTAATGAACCTTTACCAAAACATTTAAATAAATTCTATGCTTGCTCTGTGTATAAAAAACATTCTGAAGTACAATTAGTTAACACACACTTCTTTAGCAAATATAACCTATTTTTACATATTAAAATAGAGAACCTTTTAGTAAAGAAAATAAATTAAAAAAAAAAAATCAAGCTCTAAAATTGGAAGGAATTATTTGTGCAGGCAACTTTTTCCTTTGTTTGGGTGTATAGATGCTACATAAAATTTGAGCATATTAAAGAGTTCTAGTTTAAGACATTTTGTAAAAAAAATCTATTGCAAAAAACAAGAATTTGAAAATTTTAGCTATCATTACCAACTGCTTTCTGTTGCCAAATCTTTTTCTTCAATATGATAGTGCTTGTTAGCCAAAACACAACTAATTTTATCCACAGGGGAAAGGACAATAAACATTACACTTGAAAAATGATCAGGAAAAGGTATGCAAAAGATAAACGAAGCAAACATTATATTCACTCAGATGTGCCTTATCTTGAGAACTTAACCCACTGCACTGATTATTCTTGCAGACTTTTTTTTACAGGTAGCAACCAATAAAAATTCCCTATTCCAACATATGGCTGCCCAACCAAATATAAAATTATAAATATTTATCACCACTAAATCAGTCAAGAGATGACACAATTCATACTGACAAGCTGTAAATGTTCAATGGGAAATGATTTGGTTATTGTATAGCAGAGCCTCTATTCATATTTTATCATTAAGAAAATATCTAGTAGGATTACAGTAAGTAATGATTATTGATTATTTTCTTTGTTTTGTCATTATTAAAATGCATTTAATAACAGACTTTTGAAATGTTTATTTTTTTTTTTTTAATTTCAACAATAATTAAATAATAATTTAATAAACAAATTTGCATGGTATTTTCTTTCACCCCCAAAATTTAATTCTCCATGAAATTCTTTTAAAACATTAAACCTATTCATAATTAAGTGACATTTTACCAAGATTTTGGGGATAGATGAATTTACATTAAAAGGAAAAACCTTTTTTGATAGAAAAAAAAAAAAATATTTCTGATTGATGCAATAATTTTGTTATTCAATTTTAATAATTGGCTGAATTTTTGTAGACTTTCAAAATGTGTAGATTTGCCATTTCAATTCTATTTCTGATTTTTTGAGAAAACTTTTCAAATAGCAAATATCTCTATATATGCTACAAAAACAATTTTAATATAATGTTGCAAATTTTTCTTTCTAATAGCATGAGTTTTCAGGGAATTTTACTTTTATATACAATTTAAATAGCTTTTTGATCAATTTAACTAAAGTTTATGAGAAGAGTGAAACAGTTTATACTCTCTCCACGTATATTCAAAGACTTAATGAAATGTTGAATAAAAAGATAGGAATATTAGACTGATTTACCACCCCCACCCCCCACAAAATTTAAAAAAAATGATTGCTGACCTTACAAATATCAATTAATGAACAGTTTTACATTCATGCGAAGCATTTTTTTAAAGCATTTCAGGTTTACCAATATATCATTGTGTTCATAACTGCTTATAATGCCTCCACCACCACCACCACTCTACCACCAACTTCATTCCCCTCCCCATGGATATGGTTTCTCAAAACACAGCAAGTCATCAAGAAAGAATTATTACATGAAAAATATGATAAAAATGATATAGCAATTTAACTCAAAAACATCAGCAGTTACTTCAAGATCTTCATATCAAACTGTGTATGAATGCTTAGTATAAATAAAGATTGTCTTTCTCTGTCTCACCCAGAAAAACTAATGCTGGGTTCAGCAATTTTTCAATTGCAAGTCAATGTTTAAAACCAAATTAGTAATCCTATAAACCAAGGTTATTTCATTCTAAAAAAAAAAAAAAAATAAAAAATAAAAATAAAGAAATATAAAAGCATGATGTATTTTTAAAAGACAAAAAATTAATTTGAATTTTGCAGTATATGACAATCAGATGGAAACTAGAACATTAACAATTATCGCAGGGACAATTCATTTTGTAGTTAGATAAGCAGTAATAGCCTGAAACAATTATTGCTATTCATTTCAACTGTCATGCAGAACAGTTTATACTACCCAGCCATTAACATCCAACATGATCAGTATTTTTAAAGATAGAAAACTTTATTTACGTGAAGTTAACACTTACGATGATATTAAAATACTTTTCTCTAATATTACATATATGTATGTTTAGATAGTGGGCAAAGATTGTTAACAACTGATAAAACTAACATTTCAATTGACTACACAGCAACAGTTCCAAGAATTGTACTTTGCTCTGGAATTTTTCTAAGAAAAAGACAAATCAAATTTGTTTTTTTATTCTAATAGAAAATCAATGAAAATTATATGGAATAAAATGAGACACAAAAATTGATTTATAATTGTAATCCTTTTGTATAATTCTGTATTGTTTAATCCATCTGATTAATCTATATCTGTTCTCTTTATAACCATATTAATTTACAAATGGAAATAATGGAAATAAGTATTTTAATTTTGTTTATTATTTGCTCTCTTCAATAATGTAATGACACTTTTGTATATTTAGTGTGGAATTACTAGCATCATAACAGACAAAATTTTGTTTGTGTATGTGCACATATACTTTGCCACTTTCTTGTGTCAAGCTGGTAGACGGTTTCTTGCTACTGTCACATGTATTGCAATGTTCTTTGTTGAATGAAACCCATGAAATAAAATCAGAGAATCAAAGACTTCTGAAATAAAATATTGATAACGGCAATTTAGTGAGACTTTCCAAAATCAAATGATTTGATAGTTCTAACATTTAAAATATAACTCCACTGCAAGATACAGACTATTCCATATTAAATCCTCTCATTTCCTCAATAAATGAGTGAAATTAAGCTTTATAAACTCTACAAATGGATGTAGAGCCTTTAAGTCTTAATGTATATATGCTGTTAAGTAATGACAGATAAAACAATGATAATGATTATGCCATAGAAAATAAGAATGGATTGCAAGATCATTTGTTTCATCTGCTAAATAAATACAAAGCCGTATGAATGTCCACATTAACTATTGGGGGAGTGGGGGTTAAAATATTTCATTTTACACATTTAATTGCAATTTATTTTTGTGCTTTATCAAGGACATTTTGGATTAGACAGGTTTTTTTTCTCATACAAAACCTTTATAGCTTATAGAATTCCCACTGAAACAGCAATAGAGATTAACAATAATTTCACAAATTTTTAAAACTTTTCCATCAACAAAAATCAAGTTTAAGCAATAACTCTTGAATCAAGCAACAAGAAAATGTCTTGGTTTTCAATACTCTAACTTAAATTGTACCATAAAGCCTGATTCCTTTCAATTGGACAAAATAAAGAGGTCTCAAGGCCCAAAATAAGTTTAATCATCAATGAGCTGCCTCCTAATAATTAGAGAAATGACTTTTTACAAGTTTCTACATATAATTGGTAATTTTTTAACCAAAGTTAGAAAACCATAAGATTTTAAAGAAATAAAATGTAAAATATTTCTACTTCAAAAAATACATTTTCTCACCAGTGTCAAATCGGAATAAAACTTGAAAAATTTAGAATCAATTTAAGAAGGAAAGTTAATTAATACACTCAAAGATAAATACAATTTATTAGCTCTGAAATGATATTTAACTAATTGTTCATCCAATACAAGGCCCAAGAGCCACCATTACTATTAAATGGTAACCATCTAAAACTTGTTAAAAAAAAAAAAAAAAAAAAAAAAAAAAAAGATTTTACTTACTATAAAAAGCAGTAATAATTTTCATGAAGAACTGTACATTAGCCACATAAGATTTTGCTTGATCATCAAAATCAACCAATATCATGACAGTACTGACTGGAATAGCCATTACAAAATATCAAGTATGGTAAGTAATAATCAGTAATCATTAGAGCTCTGTTCTATTGAAAATAGTTTATTCTCCTAATTTTTTGATTGAAAAGCATTCAGTTTATCAGCTTTAAAAATTTTCTAAAGCAAATAGGTGGCAAAAGTTTGTACCCAATTAGAAATTATATTAATAATGAAAATCAAACACAAACTTTTGTAATGATCTTTATAAAAAGATTTGACAATAAAAATAAAAAATTAACAGAAAAATGAAGATCAGCAACTTTAAATTCTACTGATACAAACTTAGTAGAGTATTGGAAGCTTTGTTTTTAAATTTATGTAGATTACCTCTCCTTAAAATGTGTGTTTCTGCCATAATTTGTGCAGCAAAATCTAAAACTGACAACAATACTTGGCAGTAGTAATTCTATTTATAGCATTCCACTTCTTAAAAAAAAAAAAAAAAAAAAAAAAAAAATCACAGACCTTGATGAATATGCTCAGAATGATAAAGTATTATAAATATATGGAATCCGATTCAGTTTCTTTTCCTTGATCTTTTTATAGTTGGAAGTAAAAGAAATTCCTTAGCATCCAATTGCAATTTGGTCAAATGTTCGCATTACGGAAAGTTGATACATAGATTGAAACGATCTGTGCAGAAAGATGGAATGGTAAAACAGCTGGCAGCTAATAACAAAGGAATCAACAGAAATAGAATTAGAGAACAAAATGGCAGAATTATTATCCGGTCTTCAACAAATAATTCACAAAATTCCTTTTATAAAAAATTTAAATCTCATATCAAATTGCATTTCAAATGTATGTGCACAAAAACATAATTACTGTTTAGATAAGATTTTGTTGGGGCATACAAATTGGAGGGTTTATTTTAAAATCATTTTTGCTTCCATTTTTAAAGGTAACTTGAATCATGATTGAAAACTTAATTTCAAGTTTCACTTTGCTCTAATGTGCTTACATTTTTATGTATTTAATATAGAAACAAAATTTAAGAAAATCTAATGGTCAGGAATGCTGTAATTGGCCCAGCTCATCTCAGGACTTAGAAAACTGAACATACATTTTAACCCCCCAACTAGTGAATGTCACGTGAGAGTAAAGTAAGATGTTTATATCCAGGCAAAGAGAGAAAATAGTATTGATAAAAAACTGGCAAACATTTCTTTCCAATAAAAAAAATAAAATAAAATAAAAAAGAATGTTTCAAGTAGAAATAAAACAAGTACAGGAAACCAGTGGTGCCAAACGTATCATTTTGAAAATATAATCACAAGATGAATATTGCTGATATAACTAAATCCACATTGTTTATATACAGTGGGTGGGAGAGTCTTGACAGTGTTATTGCCCATATCATTGTCATTATTTGTGATAACAAAGATGAGGACAATAGTCTACATGTAAATAATGATAACTTCTCATCCCAGAAATTCAAAAATAACAACACTAATAAAAATAGCTCTTTAGAAATTATCCTATTTTAACAAAAAAAAAAAAAAAAAATATGAAAAAATAAAATAGAAAATAAATATATTTCCAGCAGTTGAAAATTGCTTCTGCATGAAGCTCAGAGTTGTGCA